TGAAGGGAACTAACTGCTTTAAATTTCTGAATCGACGAATTCCCTCCGAAACAGTCAGGTTGCTGCACCGCATAGTCAGCCTGAGGTGCAAGATGGTGTGTTTACGTGTGGAGATATCGTTTCTATCGAAATGCATTTTCGTACGTCGCTATCCTCGTCCAGTGCTTTTACTGTTGCGTAGAAACAAACTCAAGCCCTCTGCGGCTAACCTCAGACGTGTGGCGTCCGCTCACCTAGAGACGGCTCAAACCAGACTTGCGGAACTACTAGAAACTCATGCACGCTTACTACCCGTGGTCGAGGATCTGTCTCTGTGTTGCCGGATTGTTTTCACCAACTTTTGTATATCAACTCTTGATCGTACGAGACGAAATCGCTCCGCTCGGTTAGAAAATTCGCTGACGAACAACCAGGAGGAGGAACCAATTGCTCATGATCCCAGTAAGTACGTGATGAATTTATCGAACGTAAAACTTGATGCGTTGCAATTAGAAGCATTATTACTTGGGCTTGATTATAAAGTCCCCCCTAGGACGTTGAACGGCTTGTTTATAGAAGCTCAATTTGAGAACTTTTTTGATCAGTTTAAGGAGCTCCAACCAACCAGCCCTGAGAAGCATATTTGGTTCAGAAACAAGTTAACTGATATCGCTCATGAGATGAAAACCATGCCAATTAATGAAAAATCTGCCATCACAGCTCGACATTTTCAGGCTTTACGTGAACTACGAGCTAAGGAAGTAGTCGTAATGAAACCAGATAAAGGTTCAGGAGTGGTAATCATGAATAAAACCGATTACAATGAGAAGATGTGCGCCATACTAAACGATGCGAGTAAATTCGAACGGCTCACGAAAGTGGGGGATATAACCAATGTCGAAATGCGCATAATTCGTCACCTGGAATTACTTCTCCTCCACCGCGTGATAGACTTTGATACATTTAATAGTTTGAAGCCGAGTGGTAGCACTATTCCACAGTTGTATGGGTCCCCAAAGACACATAAGAGTGAAGTGCCACTCAGGCCAATCCTTTCAATGATGAACGCTCCCCAGCACAAACTCGCTCGTTGGTTAGTGAAGTTGCTAGCTCCGCTGAAACAACAGTTCAATCCGTACAGTCTTAAAGACTCGTTTCAACTCATTGATGATCTGGATGAACTCAACCTGTCGGACAAAGTTATATGTTCCTTGGATGTAGAATCTTTATTTACCAACGTGCCGCTACATCAGACGGTTGATTACGTGTGCGAATTAGCTGAAAACGGTGGCTGTTCGCTACCAATTCCGACTGAATTGCTAAGAGAATCTCTACTATTGTGCACGGAGAATGTGGATTTTCACTTCCGGAATACACCATACCGTCAGATTGACGGCGTAGCAATGGGTAGCCCATTAGGTCCTGTGCTCGCTGATTTCTTCATGTTGATGGTAGAAAGAAGCATTTCTACAGAAATAGCCCAGGTGCCATACTACAAAAGATATGTCGATGATATCTTGGCTTTCTGTTCGTCGGATCAGCAGCTCACACACTTGGTAGAACGGCTCAATGGTGCTCATGCTAACTTACGGGTTCCATGTGAAATAGAACAAAACAATTGTCTACCATACCTGGACATACTCATAACTCGCAGGGAGGATGGATTGATTAAGAGATCAATTTACCGAAAATCGACTTGGTCCGGTCAGTACCTGCACTTCACCAGCTTCACACCAGTGCGGTACAAACGGACACTTGTGAAGACTCTAGTTAGTCGTGCCAGACGAATTTGTTCGGCCGACTGTCTGGACGATGAGCTAGTGTTAATTACGACAACACTAATGGCGAACGGCTACCCTCGAAGATTTATCGAGAAACACAGCCAACCCCGAGGACCAAAGGACTTGGTGCACACGGCAGCCAAGAAGAAAGTGTATATCGAGTTACCTTTCAAAGGTGACTTAACCACGCTGAAGACAACTAAGCGTATAATTTCGGCTACACAAGGAAGTTACTATGCGGCACAAGTTGTCGTCATCAACCGAACCCGAAATTTGCCCATACCTCCAACGAAGGAAGCTCAGCCTATTGGGGCCAACTCACACTGTGTATACCAATTTGTATGTGACTGCGGAAAAAGTTACATAGGCAGAACCAATAGAACGCTGACTTCCGAATAAAGGAACATGTGCCAGGATGGGTTCAACGTGAAGTTGCTCAGATTGCCTACCCTCGTCAGATTCCATGTTCGCGCAGACCACCGGCTTCCTCGATAGGCAAACACCTATTAGACTCGGGTCACCAATTAGAGCTGGGCTCAGCGTTTAAAGTTGTGTTACGTCACACTAATCCCCGCTTCCTTCGGTTTGCTGAGGCTGTCGCAATTAGCCGGATTAAGCCAGCCTTGTGTGTTCAGAAACAATTATTTGTCAGCCTAAAGCTGCCTTGGACATAGGTGTGAACTTCCGTCATTCATTTTGCACCTTAAGCTTGTCTGGTTGCACCCACTGTTAGCTATATCTATGCTTATCGGTTATTGTTAATGGTACTGAGGAGACAATACGAAATGCATGCATCTACCAGCCTTCGTCTTCTTTCCGTGCTTTTCAAATTGTTGAAGGGAACTAACTGCTTTAAATTTAACAGTAAGACAAGTATACTTCCCCTGTCTCCTTTTTGGATGGGTGTTTGGCGTATTTTTTGGTCCGAAAACTGGTGGCACATTAGATACTTTGCTTGTATTGATGGCCATAATGGTTCCTATTTTGACTGCGTTCGAGCCTATGGTGGGTGGTGCCTCTTTCACCTAGGTGGCAACAATTGACGGGGATGTTTTTGCTCTCTCAGCAGTGTTGAATATACAGCGAGACTTTGACGAATTGTTCTGTCCCAGGTCATAATTAGAAGCGGCACTCTTACCGTGGCCGACGTCTGCGTCGTCAAGGTGCCCAACTCTAGGTGCTTGTTCTCACGCCAAACTTGACCGCTCTGTTCCGAATTAGAGTTTGATGTTGTACATCCAACTCGATAACCTGATTTGTCTGGGCACATTAGGGTATAGTTTTCGCCACTTACTCGCTGTACAAGCTCTGCAAGTTTGTCACGCATCTGCACCAGCATAACTATGCATCTAATGGGTGGAATAGCCATACACCCTGTGCAAAAGCAGGACAGTAACGAACTAATTGCTGGCTAACCACTAACCTACATTTGTTCGGCACAAACATCTGAACCAACCACTATCTAGTTTATGTGTTAACCTAATAATCATAATAATGATAATAATAATATTATTATGTATCTGCTGATAACCAGCTATCTTGCTGGTGGTTCGGGGTTGCTCCTCCCAAACCTGGCACCCTGTAACCGGTTTCGTCCTCCTTTGGACTCATCAGATGAAGATAGCCTGAGCTGGGGTAGACCGCAAGGCCTAGTGTTCAAAGGTTGACGCCTAGACCACTATGGCTCTAAGATCCGCGAGCAACGCTTGGCACAGCGGTAAAGAATTCCAAGTGGCGTTTGCTGTACTCAGCTATGGGGTGTCAGAGTTGGGATGAGCAACACCGAACCACCAATTCGGATACGGTCCTTGGGACCATAATGACCGAGGTCCAATTCAAGGGGAACCGAGGTCTGAATAGAGCTTGCGAGTCGTAATCCAACCACACAGCGGGTACACCAAATGCCACTTGAAGCTCTCTTGATGTTATGAAGTAACCAGTATATGAATACTGAGTAACCTTTTTTGTCTCAGACTGGTGTTCCCTGTTACCAGTGATTGCCAATGGTATGTGTTACATTCCATCTTCCACTTATGGGCATGAGTGCGTTTGAATAATGACGTAAGAAGACGAACACTGGCAGATATCAACATTTCGTATTGTCTCTTCAGTGCCAACACAATAACATGAAAATATATAAGACGACAGGTAGGGTGAGACCGGAACAAGTTAGAACAGGGTAGAGGGGCAGGCGTGACACCCCTACGCCCAGGGCAGCCGTAGGCTTACGAACATCTGTTTCTGCACACAGCGTGCGGGTTTGATACGGCTGATCGCGACTGCCTCTGCAAAACGTAGGAAACGGGTGTTAGTATGTCTTAACACGATTGTAAACATTGTGGCCGGATCAAACTGGTGACAGGTGGCCAGTAAGTGCCTACCTATGGATGAAGCAGGTGGTTTACGTGAACAGATGGTATGAGCAACCGAGGACTGGGTGATTTGACGCTGCAACCATTTAGGTACATGTTCCTTTATTCTGGAATTCAACGATCGATTGGTACGGCCGATGTTATTGTGTTGGCACTGAAGAGACAATACGAAATGTTGACATCTGCCAGTGTTCGTCTTCTTACGGCATTATTCAAATTACTAAAGGGATGTAATTGTTTCAAATGAGTGCGTTTTTCCACCGGCTGACCCATTCTGCCCTGCGCATTTACAGCTTGGACCGACTGTGCTTCTGACGGATATTTTCGCTGAGGTTTTTTACGCTAATCCGGGGCAATTTATTTTTGACATCCGAATGCATACCAGTGATAAAAGTTTTTGCATATTATAGGTAGATAGCACCATGGAACTTACATCTGGCTTGTATTTTGAATCATGTGAAATCGTTTCTACGCGTTGCTCGACGGCTGCGGTTCGGTCGTTCCACGGTGGTTGGGGTTGTACCCAGAATTCCCCAAAAGGACGCCCGTCAACTGATCCGAAAATCTGGTCTGCTGAAGGCGACATTTATGGGATAAACTGCGCCTTCAGCGAATACAAATTTATTAAGCAATGCAAGCCCGGTGAAAGCAGTTTTCCAATAAGAACCAAAGTACAGCTACTACTTTTACTTTGCTTGTGCCCCCTTGGGTGTAGACATGTGTGAGGTAAAAGGTGCTTGAAATGATTGCGTCAGGAGTAGAGGAAACGCTTTCCTCTGATACTCAGTCGGCAGTCTTGGATCAGCTAATAGCGATTGATATATCAGAATGTATTTGAATTTTTGTAGCACAGAAACGGTTGGCTTACTCGAATCTCCATCATATCCTTCCTTGTTAGGGGCGTCTGGTTTGAGTCGGACTCTGTCTGCGATTTCTTCCTCCAGGGGATACGCCATTTCACGAGCAGCCGAATAACTGAAGGGAATGATGATAGCCACAGGTTGTCGGAAGTTGTGAGGCGCATATATGAGCTGCATTTCACTGGCCATCCGTAAATTGGGTCCCAGCCATGGACACAATAAACTGCGGGCTGTACTCGGGACTGGGGCACATAATAGCCGTTCACGTCTACCGGTGGAAGCACCAGGCGGTATTTCGACCTTCACACCGCTCGAAGACAAGAAAAGCCCACCTGATTTACGGACTGCTACCTCCTGTTTCAGCGGATTTGACCTTGTCATAATAGAAAAACAACAGGTTTAGCCGTATTCACATTATTTGACTGGATGGAAGACCATATTCTACTTTGTTTGGCAAGTATGCTTGATGCAAAAACGAGCAAAACAAGGTTGTAAGTCATTTTTACGGGTTGTTCCACGGCCCTAGTTTGCGCAACGCTACACATCCCGACAACTTCTGGTAGACAGCAGCGGTGCTCACGCCAAACAAAATATTTCATATAAGGCTGTGGTCAAAATCGTTTCTGGTTCACATGAATAGAACAATTAGGATGTCTTAGACATCCCATCTAAAGCACGTAGACATTTAAGATCTAGGTCATTTGAATGACTGAATGCGTGCAGGCAAGCCGCCAGCCAAAACACTTTCGGAGAGAGGTACGGCGCTGTGGCCCCTACCCAACCGCATAATAGGATTGAAAGATTCATTCGATTATGTGGATACCATCCGCGTTAAGACGTTGGAGGTGGAGAGATTCATTTTGCAAAGGTTGCCAGTAGTTTGGGGCTTGTTAGAAGATCTGAGACAGCGTTTTGGGGCATATGTGGAAGTGGTTAGGCTGAAACTGGGACTAAAGAAGAACGAAATTGCTTGGTACGGGTAACAATGAGGTCCTAAAATTGACCTTTCCGAATAAGTCGGAACGGTATTTGTTTACTCTTGCCACAGTGGGTGTGTTAGCATTAGGTCTCAAGTGTTTCATCCAATGCAAGAAAATAGATCAGAAAGCTCCAAAGATGCAGTTTGAAAGCCTAATGGCATAGACTAGAGACCCTTTTCCAACATCTAGTGACATTAAGAAGCTAAAACCCAGTCTTTTGAATAATTGTCATGAATACGTTGATGCTAAACTATTTAGTAAGGGTGGTATTACACAGGAGCAAATTCAGTCAATTAAAACGTTACGATCAAACAACGACGTGATTATGTCAAACACAGACATAGGATCCGGCATAGTGGTAATAAATGGCATGCATTATATCTGTATAATCCAGCACATCCTCAGTGACGAATATAAGTTCCAGAAGCTCATGGAAGAAAATGACAACACAGAGGAGTTAGAAAATGTTACCGGTGACCTCAGGCGAATAGTGTGAGCCAAACTTATCACGAAACGCGAACTGGAAAAGTTAAAACCTTCAGGTGGACGCCTACCGAGGTTATATGGTCTTCCTAAAGTTCACAAGGAAGGTGCTACAATGCGTCCAATCTTGGACATGGTGGTTTCTCCTCAGCATTCGTTACCCCAATGGATGGTGGACAAGTTACAACCGTTACGGAATATGGCTTGCACTTAGCGTGTGAGAGTCACCTTTGATTTAATTGGGAAGATACCTGAACTCAACTTTGCTAACAAAAGGGGGATAACTGTTGATGTCCACTCGCAGTTTACAAGCATTCCACTGCACGAAACGGCTGATTACGTGTGCAAACTGATGCGGCAACTGCCGTTATACGTGATTTCCCGGGGCATTTTCTAAAGCAGATATCACTTCATTGCACTATGAATGTTCAGTTCACATGCAATGGTGAGGTGCACATCATCATCCTCATCATTACACGTTAGCTGGAGATAGAAAACACCTCAGCTATTGTGCCGCAATACAAAAGATAAGAAAAGGAAAACAAACGATGGCAAGCTTGCTGAGTCCCCAGTAACGGATGGACATCATTCCGGAGAGCTAACAGCTGACTGCCGTAAAAGAGAGTCATATTATACCTATCAAGTGAGACTATGATTGAAGGGGGATGCTAAGCAGGAGGGGGATGGACAAAGGAACTCACAACACAAACGCCATTGGGGCCGGCTCCAAGCCATATCAGCGAGTGTGTCCAACCAAACGTGTTCACCATCCTTAGGACCCCAGCCAGGCAATCGGGATGCACCAACCGACGCCAACTTCGAAGTGAGGGTTTTCATTTCTCTCGACCAAGTCATCACTTGGCCTCCCCTCCTCCTCTTCCAACCGCATCCACAACGCGCAAACAATGCACGTAGCGGGAGTCGGTGTGCTGGCATGCGCAACACGTGGCCCAGCCACCGGAGCCTGGTGCGTGATATAATGGTGCTGAGCGGTTCACTCGCTCTTCCTGCACCAAATACGCGACGTCGAACACGCTCATTGCTCACGCGGTGCTTCCACCAGACATGAGCTAAACTGCGAAGGCAGCGATGATCGAATGTGACGAGCCTCTTTATGTCTGTCGACCTGATGGGCCAGGTTTCACAGCCATATAAGAGAGTAGAACGGACGGCTGCGTTGTAAACTCTGCCCTTCAGGGCGAGAGTAATGTCGCGTCTGCGCCACAGGTGGCGGAGATTGGCAAAAGCACCTCGAGCTTTTGCTATACGGTTCGTAACCTCATCTTCAATCCCACGGGTGCTAATATAGCTGCCCAGGTACTTGAATTCCTGAACGACTTCTAGCAGATCACCACCAAGCGTTAGCGCAGGGTTGGGTCCCTGCCAATCTTGGAGAAGTACTTTGCATTTCGATGGAGCAAAGCATAGCCCAAAACGATTGACAGCCAGCGCTAATCGGTCCAGTGCTTTTTGACATGTTTGGGAGCTGTCACAGATTAGGGCAATATCGTCCGCATACTCCAAGTCAAGAAGTCGCTCACCAGGAAGTAGCTCCACACCTTCTAGGTCGTGTCCAGCGAACGTTGTTTCCATGACTTCATCAATTGCGAAGTTGAAGAGGAAACGCGACAGCGGGCATCCTTGTCTCACACCACTGGTGATACTGAAGGGTGGCGACAGTTTGCCATAAACCCTCACCCTGCCCGAACTATGCGCGTACAGCGCTTTGATAATATTTACATATTTATCAGGCACACCTTTCCTCAACAGACAGTCCCAGAGGGCACATCGATCGACTGAGTCGAAGGCACCTTTTATGTCAAGAAACACGACAACGGTGGGTTGCCAATAAACATGGCGGTGCTCCAACACTTGATGGAAGGTAAAGATGTGGTCGATGCAGCCCCGACCTCGACGAAATCCGGCTTGCTCTTCAGGAATCTGGCTTTCACGAGTGTCAGTCAGTCTGTGGAGAATGATAGAGGCAAGCGATTTAGAGGCAATCGAAATCAGACTGATCCCTCTATGATTGCCGCATTCCAAACGAGAGCCTCCCTTGAAAATTGGGACAATGACGGAGCGGTTCCAGTCTGTCGGGACTGTCTCCTGCTCCCAAATTTTACTAGCAACTCGTTTATATCATCTATTAGAGCAGGTCCCCCGAATTTGAAGAGGGCTGGGGGAATTCTATCTGCCCCTGCGGCCTTATGCAATTGCAACAGCTTGATCTCACGTTCGACTTCTGCGCGTGATGGCGGATCCACGGAGACGGCCCAGGGAGAAGGGCGCTCAATGCTCGAAGAAGAAAGCGCTAACTCAGGTTGATTAAATTGCCTTGCAAAGTGTTCAGCCCAACGCTCCAAGCGTTTTGACAAGCTGTGGATCGGCTGCCCACTCTCGTCGCCTATGGTCTCGCTAACACCAGATTTCCTGCTGCCAGTTTCCCGTATCAGACGGAATAACTTGCAATGATTACCAACGGCAGCGGCTGTTTCCATCTCAGAGGCACGATGAGACCACCAGGTTTGGCGATCCCTTTTCAAACTAGCACGTAGTTTTGTCCTGAGATTTTTGCGAGTCTCATTGTATTCGTTTCCAGCCGGAATACGTCGGCGAGCATCCATAAGTTTCAGAGACTGCGTAGAGACCCAATGTCCGGTTTTGCAATTTGCTTTGCCACATGAAGACATGCCTGCTAACAGCAACGCTTGACGAATATGCGACCAGTGATCTTCAACGGTGTTTAGTGGGCGCCTGTTCAGCCCAGATTTCAGCGCATTTTGGTACACATTCAGAACATTTGGCTTCGCCAGCTGGCTGGTGTCAATCCGTTCACATCGACGTTGCGGACGTCCACCGAAACGAACCAGGAGGTCGGCACCGTCAGACTGATGGTGTGATCATGGGACCGTTGTTCGCTGGTATCGTTATAGCGAAATTAGTACATGGCACACTACTCAGGACGCACGGCGGTGGTACTGAAATGTACGTATGGTATGTGGAAGATACCGTGACATGACAATCCGAAAAGCATGCGGAACCGTTGCTGAAAGCCTCCAATGTTGCACATGAGAATTTAGGCTTCACTCATGAGCACGAGACCGGAAACCGATTACCTTACTTGGATTTCGAAGTCATCCACAACTTGGACGGCTCAAATGGCAGAAAGGTATACAGAAAGCATACATGGACTGGGAAGTACACTAACTTTCACAACGCAATACCTTTACAGCATAAGAAGAGTTTAATCCGATCTCTTGGCTTCAGAGAGCGCTATATTGGCACTCCGAATATCGTCAAAGAAGAGCTACAGAGAAACAGCGACTCCCATAGGGAAGATATTTACCTCAATAAGTTTATCATAAAGCAGTTGAAGGAACGAAATCTAAAGCCACTTGGGAGCATTGCTCCCAAGAAAGAGCTTTCATACATTTAGTTTTAAGGGCGATTTGGCAGCTGCTATCCTATCTCGATGCCTGAGAGATGCTGTTAGGAAAATTATTTGGCAGCGCACTTGAGAATTGTTTACCACAACAAGCCAGTGCTCGGAAAAAACCATTGCAAGATGGCCTGCCCTCGTTGCCCCTTTCAGTGCTTGTTTGTCACTACTAGTGCTCCTTTGGGGCACGATACATGAGAGGCACGTGAGGGGCATGAGAGGCCCATCGCAAAGAATTCGCGAGCACATATCGGCGTGGTTATATAAAACTGAAATGAGGTCCTCAAACAGCTCAAGCGTGTCGCACCTACATAAATGTGGTCATACAGCATCTAAGAATCACTTTAAAGTCCTCTAGTCACTACCTGAACGCTTCTCGCATGGATTCCGAAAGCAGGTTTTGTCTATGACCGAGGCTATTTACATCTGACATCTGAAGCAGAAATTTTGTATACAGAAAGGATTCATAAG